CCGCCCCAGGAGGAAGAGGAGGAGGATGCCAACAGCTATGACTCTGATGAAGGCAGTATGTACCTGGGGCGCCTGGCCAGTGGGGAGGGAACGGTTTCTTCGGGAAACCCGGAATTTTGAGGAGGTGGTTGCTGCGGGACTGTGACTTGCACCATAAGGTCATGGATCTGTGGCGGAGAGAGTCCTTGGGGAACGCTGCTTCCCTGCGGGGTTCAGAGCCAGGGCAGGGTCTTGCAGGCTGTCCTTGCTCAGTCAGTTCAGCACAGCTCGTGGGATCTTCAGTCGGTTTTGCACCAAATTACTGAGCTCTGATGCGTGATGGTTTAGGCTCTGTGCTCACACAACCTTCCCATTTCTGAATTCAAGTCCTGAAGGCGGCTGCCTCTTTCCATCAGAGCATCCTTTGCTGCAAGCAATGCCACTGGACCCGTCTGTAGGAAAAGCTTGGCGGCTTCAGTACCTTTACACCATGAGATCTTGGGGTTCAGTCATTTGCCCCCCTAACGAGGGAGTTTGCTGCATGAGGGTGAGCATCTGTGGCAGGGCATTGCTTCGTCTGTCCAGCCTGTTCCCACCCAGGGTGGGATGAGCTGCTCCGGGCCAGGAGCCGGTGCAGAAATTGTGCTCGGATAGGAGCAGGTGGACCCAGCTGAGGTTCTGTGCTAACTCTTCATCCCTGTGATCTTTTCTTGGTGAGCATGTGAAGACAAGCATGAGCTGGTTTCCAAGTCAAAACAGGGGCCAAACACCGAGCCCCAAGCCTTGGGAGGAGATGCTGACTGCCCGAGCTGAAACACCTTCTCAGGGTGGTCCTGGGTTGGCATTGCCACCCCGAGTTGTGCCCACAGAAGGGTTTGTACCATTACATCCTCCTTTGCCTGGTGAATATTAAAATCAGCTCAAAAGCCCCAAGTTGCCCTCCTTGAACCCTGGGCAGTTCCAGCTTTGTAAAGCTTTGATGAGCAGAGCTCGCGAACCTGGCTGGATTTGTGTGTGGCAGTCTGGCCGATGCTGGCGCAGACCCACGTACTTTAAATGGCTTTACATTTGAACCGCAAATCTTTCTAATTATTACTAACCAGGGCTGATTAAGCAGTTATTGGCTGGGGTTTTAATGAGGTCCTATTTCCAACTCCTCTCTTCCCACTCCACTGTCAGCTACACTGGGAGCGCTGGAGTTCAGCCTGCTCTACGACCAGGAGAACAGCTCCCTGCACTGCACCCTCATCAAGGCCAAAGTAAGTGGTCCCCTTTTTCCCCCTTCTTTCACCGATTTAAGTCCATCTGGCTCCCAGCTCCCCCGGTGCAATGGGCTGGGAGCAGCGTGGCTGCTGGCAGAGGCTGCTCCCCTGGGAGACCCAGGCCAGCCCCGCTGGCACTGCTCTCCTGGCTGGGAAGGAGAGGTCTGTGGGGCTTTTCCTCGAGTGGGTCCGATGTTTCAGCACACTGCGGCACCCACGCCTGCTCGGGGCAGAGGACAAGGCCGTTGGCTTGCTGAATGCGTTTTGCCTTTATGGAGTTGCTTCGTGGGTAGCTTTTTCTCTTCCCTGGATCTGCTTCATACACCGTGTTTTCTTTATTATCTTTTAGGGCTTAAAACCAATGGACTCAAATGGCCTGGCGGATCCCTATGTCAAACTGCACCTCTTGCCTGGCGCCAGCAAGGTGAGGCTTTGCCTGGTTTGGGTGTGTTTTGGGCAGAGGTTTCTCAAAGCCCCCTCAGGTCCCTACCTTGCCTCAGACCTCCTCCCCTTGATGTCACCACGCAGTCGCTCACTGCTGCTATTTTAGCTGGGAGGTATCTCTGAAAAGCGATGATGCTTGCAGATGTTCTCCCATACCCGAGGAACAGCTCATCCTGCAGAGAGGGATCTGCTTAGGGATGGAGGGGAGCTCCAGAGCAGGTGACACTGTTAATGCATCACAAAACATCTGACAAAAAATCTGATTATTACTGGAGTTTGAACAATCCGTTTGCTTTGAAGCTGCAGCATGTTCTCATTAGAGCTGTGAAGAAATAACCATTGAGTAAACTCTGACTCCCCCTCTCCCTGCCCCCCCATCAAAGAAAGCCCTGGAAATCTCACTCCCCAGCCCAGCTAAGCTGATCTTGGTGGGGAAACCTTTGAGGAAGGGATGACCACTGCTGGCCCAGTGCCCAAGGGGTGCTGGCTCCTTGCTCAGGGGCTGCAAAGCTCCTTCCTGCAGCAATTTTGGTCAGAGGAACTAAGTGTAAAACAAGGGGAAAAAATGATAATAAACCCATTGGATTGATATTTACAGGTTTACTTTATGTGCAGGGACTTTCTGGTCTTGCACAGAGTAGATCAAGGTGTTGTAATCTTGGGAATTGCTTTGATTTCTATTGCTCTCTTGTTTGCTGATCTTTCTTTTAATTTTTTATTTCACACGTGTGTTTGTGAAAGACACAATGAAAAAGTGACAGAGCTCCTTGTTTCCCAAGCTGTCATCTCCTTTAGACCACAAGAACTGTTACCCAAGGCCCGCACAGCCTGCCTTGTGCAACTTTTTCTTGTACAAATGTCCTTGAGTGAGTAGACCCCAGATAGTTTTTCTTTTTAAAAAAAAAAAAAGCTGGATGGTGAAGGCTGCCCTGGCCACTGTAGGTGACAGAGTCCCCGGTGCTTGCATAAAGGTCCACCTTGTCTGGTCAGAAATGCTCACCTGGAGTTGATGGCTCACCGCTGCGACAGCCTCAGCAGGCAGCAGTGATGTCCTGCAGAGTCCTCCATGCTCCAGTCAAACCACCTCTTGTGAGCCAGAGGTGATGGAGCATCTAATTTACACTCCTCTGCCAGGAGCCTAAATTTAGGCTGGGAGGAGTTCAGGGGTGTAATGATGCTGTGGTGGTTTTTTTGTTTTGTTTTGTTTTTTATGCCATAGTCAAATAAGCTGAGGACAAAGACACTGCGCAACACCCGTAACCCCGTGTGGAACGAGACCCTGGTGTACCATGGCATCACAGATGAGGACATGCAAAGGAAAACCCTCAGGCAAGCAGAGGAGCTGGGGTATCCCGTGGGATGGTGGGATGGGGACCATGGGTCTCCTTGCACGGAGCATAACAAGTCAGCCTTCCTCAGGAGGGCACTGGCAGCGAAGTGCAGCTGTTGACAGAGCACCTGGAAATGCAGAGTTTTTGGTCAAAACCAACATGCTTCACATGAACATGCTGATTTTGATGGTCCTTTTCAAAAAAAGAAAGGAAGGCATTTTGACCATTGTTTAATATTAAATTATTGGCATTACTATTATTCTTATCAACATAGAGATTTTTGTATTGCGTACCTGTGCATGATTTGACAGTGTCCCAGCAAAATGTTTAGATGTCTCCAAAAACGTTTGACATTTCCTTCCTGCCTTTTGACTTCTTGCCCTATCACAGAGCACATATTAAAAATGTTGATTTTTCTGGAAAAACAGAAGTTCTGTTTTCTGACTGCTTTTGGTCAGAGGAGAGCCAGATGGATGGAGGCTTCAAGGGCACTTTGCTTTGTGCACCCTCAAGTAGTGCCCTTGCAGGAGTGGTTTTGTGCTCCAGAGTCAGGTACTGCTCCAGTCTGGTTGATGTTCACCTTTCCTGTTCCCTTCAGGATATCCGTGTGTGATGAAGACAAATTTGGCCACAATGAGTTTATTGGAGAAACTAGAGTTTCCTTGAAAAAACTCAAAGCCAATCAGAAAAAGAACTTCAACATCTGCTTGGAGAGAGTAATACCAGTGAGTTCCTGTGAAATTTCTTCCTGCTGTTATTAATGTTGAGATTGCTAACAAATGGCATGTGAGGGAGCTAATGGTGAGCTTAGAGCTGGAACCAGCCAAGAGCAGTAGGTGCCTGACTTCACTGGTGTTGGATTCCCAGCTGTATCTGGGCTGATGTGACACGTCAAGGCCAGGAGATAAGAGCGTGGTAGGAATCCAGGGGAAGTGACTCCAGGGATCTCCCTGGTGGCTGCAGATCTGCTGGCCTCGCCAGCCTATGCTGATGTATGTCACTGTGGAGGAGAGGGCAGTTTGCTCGTTCCCTGAGCTCTGCTTCCTGGTGCTGTGGGTGAGGTGCTGAGTCTGCTGAGGTGGAGTGTGATGGAGCCCATGAACATACCTGAGCACCTTTCCACTCCTGAGGCCAGCAAAAGAGCTGGGCTGGGCTCCCGGGGGTGTTTTTGCCGTAGAAGGGTGCCTCTCCCAGCTGCGGTCACTCAGCAGTCTCTCTTTTTCCCTTCCTCATTCAAGATGAAGCGTGCTGGAACGACCGGCTCAGCCCGTGGGATGGCACTGTATGAAGAGGAGGTAAGAGTCCTTGGAGGACAACATGCTCCATGTATGATTTACCCATCATCTCTTGTGTACAAGCTCCTTTCCTCCCGACCCCTCATGGGTATACAAGGTTCCCCTGTATCCATCTTGTCTCATCTGCTCTGCAGTTGACCATCTTCCTCACTCAGCCCCCGTGTCCTCATCTCTGGTTGCTTCCTCTTGCAGGTAGATCGTGGCGGGGATGTGGAGGAGCGTGGGAAGATCCTCGTGTCCCTCATGTACAGCACCCAGCAGGGCGGCTTGATTGTCGGCATCGTACGCTGTGTGCATTTAGCGGCCATGGACGCCAACGGATACTCAGACCCTTTTGTTAAACTGTAAGTGGGAGCTGGGGGTGGCTTAGTGTGGTAACGCGTGGTCGTGGAGCCACCCGCTGTCCTTGGGCAGTAGCTGATGCTCTGAGAGCTCCTTCCAAAACACTGGAGAAAGGAGAGCATTTGCCAAGCACCTTGAGACCTCATGCAGGACTGAGCTGCCCACCAGCGATTCCTGTGCAAGGTGGTAAAGCTCTGCTTGAGTGCCCCTGCCGCGGCTGAAGCTAGGTGAGACCGACCAAGCCCTTAAGTCTATCTGCTTCCCATAGGTTCCCAAATGCACAGACCCAACAGCCACCCTGTAGGTGCAGAGCTGGGGGACAAGAGAGGTCCTTCTCCCTGGCTTTGACCCACCATGCCTGCAGGGTGGAGGGGGCTTGATGTCCCTCTGTGCATGATGAGGAGCATGTGCCCCGCTTGCTTCCCCATAAGCCCACATGCTGGTTGTAGCTGGGAGCCCAGGGATCCCCCTGCCATGCCTGTCCCTGTCCCGTGCCATCTCTCCACTGCAAGCAAATCAGTTTAATTAACGCAGACAGTGGTGTTTGCGGTTCGTGCCAGCGATGTGTCGCTGCTACAGGGAGTGGGTCTCCTCAAGCGGCAGTGCACCCGTCAGCGCTCCTAGCTGCGGAGGCAGGTGATGGGGGAGCGGTACTTGTCAAGAGACTCCTGCAAACACAGGGGAATAAGATTGTTTTAACTCTAACCTCATAAACTGCGACACGGAGAGGACCCTGCAGTCATTCCTGGTTGTGATTGTGACTGCAGATGGGGTTTTGTTGCTGTTTTCTCTTTGCCTTCAGAAAGAGCTCTATTCTCCCTAAAAATCATTCAATAACTCTCATGTTGAACATTTTGCACATCTTTTAGTAGCTGAGTGGAACAGAGTAGTTTTCCTCCTCAATCTCTCTCTTATTTTTTGTATTTTCCATTCCCACAAACAGAAGATGGTGGCTTTCCATTTTTTAAATCAACTTCCAACACAGATCTAATTAATGCCAACTCTACAATTCTGGGTCTGCAGCCAGGCTGCAAAGCCTAAGCCCTGATTTTTCCCACATTCTCCAAGTGAACCTACCTTGGCTGAGTATACTAGTCTGTGTGGTATTAAACACTAACGGGCTATTTTTATCTCCCCCCGCCCTCCCCTCCATATTTCTCCCCATCTCTGTATGCGTTTACACATTCTTGGCTGGGTTTTCCAGTGGCCAGGCTCAGTGACCTCGTCTGCTGTTGACCAGCCTGGCTGCTTGTTTTCCATATTCCCTGACCATTTCAGCTGCTCCCCACTGTCAGCCTCATCAGGTTCCTCCCCAGCAAAATGCAGAGCTCACCAGCTTTTGCTTTGTAAAACACCTATGACCATTTATTTTAGCATGGCTTGGGGAAAAAAATGACTTGGGATCAATGCATGGTTTGGAAGGACATTGAGAGTGCACGTGCAGGCTTGTGGCTTTCTGGTGTCTGAATGTCACTCAGCTGCTCTGAGCAAGAGATGCTCCCCCAGAAAGGTTTCTGCTGAGCTCAGTGCTCTGCACAAAGCAGGTCTTTATGGCTTCCCATGTCTCATCTGGCAATCCAGGAAAAAAAAAAAAAAAGAGTATTCAGGATTTTACTCATTTTACATTTATTTTAGATAATTTTAGAAGGTGGGAAGGGAGACTGGCTAACCTATTTCTTTGCCTTAAATATCTTCAGTTGCTTTTTTTCTAGCCCAAAACCTCACTTTTTAAGCTTATAAGCTCACATTTTTCTCGCACTTGAGTTTTGAGCTGTTTTCTGTTGCCCCCAGTTGGCTGAAACCTGACATGGGAAAAAAGGCCAAGCACAAGACACAGATTAAGAAGAAAACATTGAATCCTGAGTTTAATGAGGTAAGGACAGATCTAATTTTTATATTACTAAATCAACTTAGCCAATTACTATGTTGTGCGGAGGAGGTGGAAGACAAACTCCCTGAGGTTCGGTTCCTCACTCAGCCTCCTTTCCCCTTTCTGCACCCAGGAATATTTTAGGAATGACTTTGCCACGGGAGATCTCACCAGCTCACTGCCAGGCAGCACACGCCGAAACCTCCCTGCTGCCGACTCCGTGTCACCCTAGACAGGGGGTGTGGGTGGGATGAGCATCCCAGGGGGGGTCCCACAGCTGGTGCTGCCTGCAAAGTGCTCACTTAGATACAAGGGGTGAACTCAGCTTATGGGTTTGTGCAGTATGTGCTGATCCTGGGAGGAGACGTGCTGCAGGGAAGGGGCATTTGCTCTTCATTAGTGTATTTTAAATATCCTCTCATTGCATTTTGAATTCAGGCTGTACAGAGAGATCATTTGTAATTCCTTAACTGCAGTTTTCTGGGTGTATTTTCCTGGGACGCTTGGGGTAACATGGGTGTTCTCCTTCTGCAGGAGTTCTTCTATGATATAAAACACAGTGATCTGGCCAAGAAGTCACTGGACATTTCTGTCTGGGATTATGACATCGGAAAATCAAATGATTACATTGGTAAGCTGCAAGTCTCTGTGCTCTGGGGTGCGGTTTTGATGCCCAGTATAGTGCTTGCTGTACGGGAGGGATGCGTAGGTCGCCTGTCCTGTGAGGAACCCCAGGCTGAGCTTTAAGGTAGGACCATGCAGGTTGGTTGGGCGCTTGTATCAGGCCATCAAATGGCTGATCCAGCATTGGACCCACTGCACTGCCCCGTCTCCAGCATCCCATGGGGTCTCCTGTGCAGGCAGAGCATCTCTAGTTGTTTCCATGAGATTTTAAATCCAGGAGGTGGAAAGAAATGCTTGCAAATGTGGGGTCTGTCCCCCATGGAAGTGATTTACTGGAACATCAGCATCATCTTTGAATGTGATGTCTCTTCTTTTCCCTTTCTTCCAGGTGGCTGTCAGCTTGGCATTACGGCTAAGGGGGAGCGCTTGAAACACTGGTATGAATGTTTGAAGAACAAGGACAAGAAGATTGAACGCTGGCACACCCTCCAAAATGAGAACCACATTGCCAGTGATTAAAGGGAGCAGCCCCCCCAAACCTCCCCAGACGGCCCATCCTCTGCCAAGCCCCTGTAGATCTCTGATGTCCGTCTTCCAGCGCAGTCATGCCTTGCTACACGCCTCTGGTCCCAGGGCAGCAATGCTCTTCTGCCTCCTCCAAGCATCCCCTGTGCCCTGTCCTCACCTCCACCTGAAAACTAACCTGGATCTTTTGTATTCACTTCCTTTGGTTTTTTTTTGGGGGGGGTCATTGAATTATCCTGGTGTGTAATTTTGTCAAGCAATAGTTACCCTCTGACTGTTCCTCTTTCTCACTAGTCTCACGCACGCCGTGATAGCCTTCCTGTTGTGTGTGTGATGCTCTGTGTTCCTCCAGCCTCCGCTCGTGTGGCTTGTCCCATCACCACCGGCTCGTGGCTCCTTTTTCTCCCAGCGGGATGCGCGGCCACCGGCCCGGCTGCGCTCTCGTCCAGCATAGGGGCAGGTTGAGCGCTGGTGTCGGAGCATCAGCCAGTTCTGCTTGTGTGATATTGATACCTCAGTTGCAATAATGAAAAAGCTGTTTGGCTTTGGTGTGGGTTGTAACCGTAGCCTGGTATCTGTGTTGTCGTGATTAGGCTGATGCCTGTGTCACTGATGTAATCCTGCGAGTCCTGCTTGAGCTTTAGTTCTGACTTGGTACATTTGAGCAATATTGTAATACATCCTTTGCTGGAAGATCCACCAATAATACAATAACAATAACGAGAAATAGGGAGTCACTCTGTGCTCATAGGGAAACAGAGATTTGGGTTAGTTCACGTTTGTTTAATGAGTTCCAAGGATCTCACGCGCTCCGTTGCTGTAGGAGCACACCCATGTTTCAAGCTTGTTACTACCTCCTCTTCACATCCTAGCTGCATAGTGGTGACTAGCTGAACCCTGAGGGCAGTCCCTGGGCCCTCCTCAGACTATCTGTTCCATTGCCGACCATTTGCCATGCCACATGCAGGAGGGAAGCCGAGGGAGAAGACACTTCCCACCAACTGTCTGATGTGTGCAAGGATTATTGCTTTAAAATACCACAAATACTGAAATTAGCTGGAACAGTTAGAGGTCTTCCAACTTTGCTTTTTTTTTTTTGTTTGTTCGCAAATCTGCACAAGAACCGTTGTCTTCAACCTGCGCTTTAACAATCATCTGGAGGTGTTTGGTTTGTTCTCAATAGCGGGAGAGTCAGGACACTTTCAGACTGATGCTGATCAGGTTTGGTACCATTTGCTGTCTCTGGACAACCTCAAGCATAGTAATGTCAATAGCAGCACAATAAGCACTACTGGGGTATATTGTCGGGTCAGCTACACACTGCGCATGTTGTATGAAACCTGAACCCCAGCCCCTTCGGTTCATGCTGTCATCCCACGACTTCCCTTGCAACCCGCTGCTGTAGTCTGCTGGCGTGCTGTCGTGTGGCGTGTTCTCAGTTCAGCTGTACCGCAGAGATGTTTCTTTTGAATTGGATGAGTTATTTTCTTATTCGTGACTATTTTTTTTTTTTCCCCCCACCCTCCCTCCAGCAGGATTTGCTCTGAGTTCTGACTTGCAGTGAGCATCTCTGCAGGGCTGTGATTTCTGCAGCTGGCGGGGGCTGCGTGCTGAGCGATGATAACGTCGCTGCGTGATGCTAACGTCTCTGCGTGCTGGGTGATGCTGCTGCTGCTGCAGAGCAGCCCTTCCCCAGCCTACCTCAGGGCTTGCACTCCCACAGGGGTCTGCTTCCCCCCCCAGCCTCAGCTGGGTGCTGCCAGCAGGTTGAACCCAGCTTTCCACCAGGAGACACCCTTGGACCACGGATGGGGGAAACAAACCTGAACCAGCGTGGGCATCCCCCCCCCTCCATTCAGCCCAAGCTGGGGCAGCTCTTCCATCACCCCAGCCTCTGTCCTGTGACATGGCCACTGAGATGAGAGCTGCTCGGGGCATGAGGCACAGAAGACTGTAATGGGAGAGGACGCTCCAAAAATGGCTTTCTCCTCCCTTTCATGCAGTTCTCAACTCCGCACCACTAAGTGCAACATCCCAGAGACCCCAAGCCATGCTGCCCCCAGTGCGGGCTGTGTGGAGGACCCAGACTGAAATGACCCAGTTCTCTTGGATTGTTTCTCTCTGTGTCCAGCGCTGCCTCATGCAGCCGTGCCAGGGCACTCGCCCCTACGGGCAGAGGTGATTTGGCTGTAGGATGCTGCTATCATCCCTTCCAGAGTGATGGACCTGGCCAAAATCTTTGCACAGCCCTTGCCTGTACCTCTTGGAGCAGCAGCTGGGCATGGTGCGCTTCCAAGCTATGCTGAGGAGATGCATGGCTGGGGATGAAATTACCTTTAAGAGGGGAAAAAAAAAAAAAAAAAGAAAAAAAAAAAGAAAAATCTGAGTAATTCCTTAATTTATTCCAGACCTGCAGCAGCCCAGCCTCCTTTGTGTGTGCAGAACAATTAAATTAAGGTTGCCTTTATCCATGTCCTGTATTAACATTCTCTGCTCAGCCTGCTTTCCCTTCAGAGAAACAATACTCAAATCATCTCTTTGCACCCATAAAAATAAAGTGCAACTTGCCAATCCCCCTCTCGGTATTGTGCAAACCACAGTCCTCATCTCTGTTTGTCACCCTCCTCTTAGTTTTTCTGATGGTAATTTCTGCCCTGAATGACTTCTTTTGTTGTAAATAAAGCATGCACATATGGATTGGGAATGGTGAGAAAAAAAAAAAAAAGAAAAAAAAAGAAGAAAAAAGCCTCTTCTACTGCTGTTTGCATTCAAACTTGCATGCAGTGATTTTACAGCAAAATACCAGTTTACAACTATTAAGAGAAAAAGAAAATGTTACACAGGAACTAGAAATACTCCAGTCTTCCGCTGCATGCAGCACAACATCCTCTCTTGATGTGGTATCTAATAAAGTGAGACTATTGGAAAAGAAAAAAAAACCAAACATGATGTTTTTTGGCTTTTTTCATTCCCTGTGGGAATATGAACCCCAGCATGGGCTGGTAGGGGCAGGCAGTTGTCCTGGTTGTGGGAATTTGCAGTGGGCTTGGGAGTGCTGGAAAGTTACATTGGGTTCAACAGGTTGAGGAGGAGTTTGGGATGGCAGGGTGCAGCCCCTTCTCTGCAGGGAGAGGGCCCAGCCCTGCTTGGCTTGGCTCTCCTGCACCCCTGGGGGGTAACAGAGATGACGTGAGTGCAGGAACAGTGCAGGATAAAATCCTGGGTATAACATGGGAATCGACCCTTTGTGCACAGCCAAGACATCCGTGGGCTCCTGCTCGCTTTGTGCCTCGTTGGGTGCAAACACGATGGGCGCACGCTGCTGGGGAAGACCATGGCGCATGTGGCGGTGGTTGCTGCTTTGCTCTGGTGCTTCTGTGGGTCCCCTCAAAAAGCAAACCCACCCCATGAGAAATGAACCTCCTGGTGCCCTGCTTCACGTCCCAGCCCTTCTTCCCAGTTTCCCCATGTAGCTGCAGCTCCTGTTGCACCACTGCAGGAAAACATGTCCTCCAGCTGCTATACCACCCAAGAAAAATTTTTCTCCCCCTTTTTTTTTTTGGTATTTTTAGGCTCAATTTCCAGCAGATCATCAGGTGCAGGCCCTAGGGAAGGGCACACTGGGATGGCAGGAGCCCCTGGGAGAGCAGCAGACAGTGGTTTTACAGGGGCCATGCCCCAGCCCTGGGCAGGGGGACACAGGTGGTGGCCTTGCCTCTCCGGGGACACCTGCACCTTCCATGTACCCAGAGAGGGCCCGTGGGACAGAGCCGAGCTGTGGAGGGCAGCTGCGTGGCAGGTCCGGTGCTGATGCCCAGAGACAGCAGCAGATGTCACTGATGCTCCAGGTATGGCACGGGAAGGATGGGCAGGAGGTACCAGAAGGCTGCCCACAACCAGGGCTGGTGTCCGCTCAGCACCCTCCATCCTGGTGGTGGGACGCCTTCACTATCACCCATCTTGGTGATGGGACTCCTCACCCCTTCAGTAACACCCATTGCGGTGGTGACTCCCCCCCCCAAATGCAGTCTTCATGCAAGACCCCCCCCCCCAAATGCAGTCTTCATGCAAGCTGTTGCTGAGCCTCAATGGATGACAGCCTTGGGGTGGTGGTGGAGCTGCCCCAGCCCCATGGCAGCTCCCACACATTGCAGGTTTAACCCATGGTTTCCCTGAAGCCAGGCCGGTGGCAGTTCTTCAAGAGAGGTCTGTGGGCAGTTAAAGCCTCCTGAGGTGTCTACGCTGATGAGATGCCATCACAGTGCATTGCAGTTGGCTTGGAAATAATTGCCCAGGAGACACCTGCAGGCCAGGGTCCACCTTCTTCCCCCAAGCCACCGGCGGTCAGCTGGACTCATCTTGGAGCAAAAAGGTCAAAAAGGCGAGTTAGATACCACTTTGTGGTGATCAGGTTGTACATGTAAGAGTAGCAGCAATGACTGGTATAGAAAATCACCGAGGTATTTAAAATTCTTGTATGGTGCTAACTGTATGTACTGCTCTTAATGAAGACCTTGAGCACTCCCACTGGTTAGGAGAAGACCTCATGTTCTCACACACGCTGGCAGGAAAACAACCAGAGTTTTAACATACACAGCAGTGACTGAACTGTCTGAGGTGATCTCCTCTTTGGGGTCAAACTCCAAGGAAAAGTGGAAAAATGATGCTAGCTCCCAGTAAGCTGCAGGATGTGTTGGCAAGTCTTCAGAGGACAAGGAGAGGGATGGCTTGTGAGGACAATGAGCATGAAGCTCTTCGGTTATGTCATGCTGGATGCTAAGAGGCTTGAGCGGAGAAAATGGGTCATTTTCCAGAAAGGGTGAAGCTGTATGCGTGCTTGCTCCTGGTAACTGCTGGTCATGGTATTTTAGGTAGGGTGGGTGGAAGAGCAAACCACCACCCCTGTAATTACCAGCTGTGCTGAGAACAGTGGGGCCAATTGCATCCCCCTTTTTCTGCTGCAAAGCTTGTTCTCTTCCAAACCTTTAGTAGCA